ACGTCATGACAGATTTTAAGTGTAACGCTTTTGTTGCGAATAAAGATTTTAAATATCGTATTCCTTGATTACGAATGGCCTTTCTCTCAGAGGCAGGGTTAGTACATGCCTCATTTACTATACTTTCCTTAAAAAGATTCTCTTCACAGTCTCCAGCCCTTGTTCTCATCCCTGCCACGTTATCGTCAATATGATCAGATCTGCTCTCTTGACTTTTCCCTTTTGTGGTCGAGTCTTTGTCTGCTTCTACCTTAAGGGAAATTTCATCGACAGGTGATTCCGTATAGTTGCATTTGGTGTTAGAACATCCCATCTTTGTGTTTGCTGATGAGGAAGATGCACAGGGTAACGCCATAGTTGTTATCAATATATCTGACACAGTTTTTGTGATTTCTTGACGGACATCGTCTTGAATGTTATGTAAAGCCATGACATTCTGGAATCCTTGTATTAAGGCTGGGATATTTATCATTTCATTATTTAGTTTCTTCAAGATGAACAATGCAGCATAGAAGTCCTGCATCCCCTTATGGAAGAAACTGGTGCGTGTGTGAGGTCCATTTGATGTCCATATGTTCATCTGCATCAAGAATGCACCAAACACTTCTTCACTAGGTAAACCAACTGAATTGCATGCATCACGGAGCCTGCTTGTCGACTCGTCTGTTAAGAATATGTCATCCTGCCTGAGGCTATGAAGTGCTTCCCAGTACAAGGTGATGAGAAATTTCTCCAGTTTCTCTTCTAGGTTCTCAAGATGCCGGGTTTTCTTATTCCCTCTGATTCTACACACGAGCTTCTCCTTTGTTATGCGCTGAAATTCAGTATATAGTTTGGTAGTAGTTGAGAGACTGTCTTCCTTTGAGGCAGACGACTTTGCCCACAGCATAGCCACGAGTATCAAATTGAGGGGCAATCGCCAGTGGTCTCTGAGATGGCTCGAGGACTTTAGAAACCTTGTTAGGCCTTCAATGTTCTGGATAGTGCTGTGGGTTTTCTTCATTTCATTGTGGTATTTAAGTACAAAGTCTATTCTTCTGCTCTCCGGAACACCCATAATCACAAGAGATGTAACCTGAAATCCCTCAGGAACTATTTTCCAAAATTGTTTCACTTTTTCTGGTCGAGTTGTACAGAAAATTGTGATATCTACGGTCCTCTTAAGCTGAAAAATTTCTGCAAGAAACGATGACGAATTTTCATTAAGTTCATCCAGACCATCGACAACCAGGAGTAGCCGGAGATTCAAGACGCATTTGAGCAGGTCGTCCATCATGAAGCTGCTCGCCGTCTCGGGCATGAGGGAGAAGAGGTAGTGCGAGAAAGTGGTCAAGGAAGAGTTCCGGCATTCCACGTAAATCAGCAAGTCGATATCGGCCAAGCCCTTCATTGTAGTCTTCTTTGCGACCCACTGGGACATCAGGAACTTCGCCAGTGTACTCTTTCCAGATCCAGCAACTCCTTCAAGAAGTATTATTTGAGCAACGTTGCTTAAACTTGTCTGTGTGTTTGAGGTCTGCGCGTACTGAATTACGTCTTCATAATTGATTTCCTGGTTACGTCCATCAGGACCTCTTTTTACCATACTGATGGAGGTATAGATCGCATCGACCTTCAGCTGCATGTCATCGAATAGAAACGTAACTGGAGTAACACGGGACCACTTTGAGTATAAAGACCTTAGTTCTTGAACACCATCTGTGAGAATCATATCCAGCTTGAGATTAAAGAGGTTTTCATTCCTATAACTTGTTATATCCCAACCATCAAACGAATCGTCTCTTACTTTGTTAATGCTCAAGTTCAGATTTTGGACCTTTTGAGTTATGGTACTGTCATCAACGTCATAAGCCTCCCCTGCTGTCCGAAGAAGGACGACCAACGTCTTCCGGATCTCTTCCATTTTCTGCATAAAATCCGTTTGGCTGCCTGTGAACCCGTCATGCATCAGCGTATTCCTAAAATTCTTGACAGCTGTGATGAGACTTTCCAAATGCGACGCAACCCAGAGCATCTTCGGATCATGGCGAAAGCAGCTGAGCATGATGCAAGTCCAAAGAAGACTGACGTCGTAGCTATGTCCATCGAAGTCCGAAAGAAGTTTTTCTCGCTGCGACTTGTTGAATCTGGCTTTCAGCTGATGCCCACTGAAGCCGAGAATGAACAAGTACCTGTCCAGGGGCTCACTGACGTCACGATCACGGGTGCCCAGGAGGAAGACGTAATGCAAAACGTCTCTTGCATCACACTTCATTACCTTCTGCAGCCGTAGCAAGCATCGATCCTGCTCTGTGAAGGTCATGTTGCTGCCATTTTGAGAAACGTGATTTGAATGCAACTGCAAGGCTGTGGGCTGCGGTGGTGGGGGAGGCTGCATCTCCTCGCTGGAGCTGAAACCGGAAGGTGTAAGATAAAAACTTTAAGATTTAGGAGTTAAGAAGGAAAGATCTTAAGAAGCTTTCATATTTTTTTCTAAGTAGTAAACTGTCACACATACATA